CTTGCAAAATCATACATACATACACATATAAAATGAGATAAGTGTTGTTGTTTTTTTGTAAATCTTTTCAGGATTCACTCGTAACCACAGTTCATGAAACCACAAGGTAAGCCCAGAATGCACTGCACTAACACAGTGATGGGAAGTTCAGATCGTTTTACTGATTTGGATCTTTGAATCTCATTCAGGAAAATGAACAAATCTTTATTCAAGTCATTTCGTTCGTTTGATCAGAATTTGATTATAACGTTACATTTTCAAGAGCCCACTTTACACAAACCGTGATCATATTCTGAATAACGCAAAAAAAAAAAAAAAAAGATAATGCAGCGAAGGACAAATGAGAAAACAGAAATGATTAATTCACCACTCAACTGGGTCTTCTGGTCCGAGTCATTCATTCTACCTCGCCCATCTCTCTAAAATAATAAGAATAATTTTAAAGAATGAAGTGTTAATAAAGTACCGTATGTTTTCCTTTGAATCGTGTTTGGTCAAACTCCTTTCCCAGATTTCCCTGGGTAATTAAAGGTGGTGGCAGCTGGTTAATTTTGGGTTGTGAGTAGTGTAAATACAGGCTCACATTTCATATTACCGTAGCCAAGAATTATTACGATAATAATAATACCACTTTACTAAACCTATTTTTAAGCAGAGATTAAGCGTGGCACACTATAAAAACCATCATGTAATCACCCGACAACGCTAAAGATCAAGGCTACCCAAAAAGCTCTGTTCTCATGACCACATACTAGCCATCTTACTTTTAGAAAAGCTGCAGGCGGCGAGTGGAGGTGTTAAACTTTCTCAGCACGAGGTCTTTCCATTCGTTGAGAAGTTTCTTTGTAAGGTGCCTCTCAAATGCAAGATGCACGAGCTGAGCTTTACAAGTGTGGTTCATTGCTCGCCTGTTGTCCATAAAAATGCTCTTGGACACACAGAAAAGGAGTTCTTGCACATGGTGGTAGAGGCCCAGAGTGTGACGGTGAGTTTGAGTGCGGACAAAACACCGGGCATAGCTTGATGTACTTAATGTTGTTCCGAGAAGTCTCCTAGTAGCCATCATCTGCGTGCTTTCCTCCGTTGCCGGGCTCTGTCACTGGCGTGCTGACGTTACCATTAGCTGTGCTAGTGCTACCATTTCCTTAAATCCATTATTTTTGAATTATCACGCTAAACGTTAAATATTTTAGACAAAGTCTTTGCTTTGCTGTGCAAAGTTTGCTCTCACGACCGCGCTCATTCTTTATTTACATCCCTGTCGTAATAGTAGCGTGTATGTGTATGACGTTACGATTTTTTTTTTTTTAGTCAACGTCTACTTTTTCAATCATAATCAGTATTCATGGTAAAACTAAATGCATTTGGAAAATTGTTTAAAAAATATTTAGTTAATTATTAATATTTCAAGAAGTAAGAGGGCACAATGGCTTGGTGCTGAGTGGCAGCGGCTAAAATCGCATTCGGCGGGTGGGGTGGGGTGCTTACCAGAGGCGAGGGGGCACAGTGACTTAGGTGGCCGGGCCGGCCCCCCTGAGGCCCCCTCGTGGCACCAACACTGGTGCAGGCAAATAGCTAAATAATAATAATCATAAAAATAAAATAAACATAATAACTGAAATCACCTTCTGAGATGAGTGAACATTCAATTCAAACAAATTTACCGTCAGCTACAGACCATTGATTCCACCATGTTTTCTTATTGACACGCCCCCAACTAGGACACGCCCAAGTTCCCACTCTTTGCTGTGGCGTTGGTGTGTGTTCAACTCGTACTGTAAATACGATATTTCCGACTTGACTTGAACGCACCGATAGCCTATGCGGCTGTCACGTGGCAAACGAAGGAGTGACTCGGACCAGAAGACTTGGGAGGTCAACTAATTGGGTGCTTCTCATCTCTTGGTTGCGCGTCCTCGTTTCCTTTCCTCGCTTACTTTCCTAGCGTCTTAGCTCCACCCCCTTAGGATGCGAGGGAAGAATTCAAGGATGAGCTGCGAGGAGAGAGGTATTGAAGCATGTCGAATGGAAGATCCTCGCTCTCTCGAACGTCACTCAAACCGACGTCAGTTAACGATGATTGTGCTCAGCTGGATGACCTGACCGCGCTTCAGGGATCTGCTGTTATGTTGTTAATAAAGCAACATGCACTGATAGTATGTGAAATGTCTGGGTTATTCAACAATTAATTAATGAACAGTACATTATATAATAATTTATCGCATCTTTTGCACAGCTTTGCATATCCAAACATGCAAGGATCAATAAATTACAATACTCATTGTAGGCATATTATTATTATTATTATTATTATTATTATTATTATTATTTAATTATATTTCACACAAAATGCCATCAACTCATCAAAGGACTTTTTGTTTGAGATTGTGGCAGATGTAACTGAGGAGGGGAATTGATCGATGCGTCAGGTTTTTCAACAAGAAACATTTCAGCGTAGGATACACCCCATGTATCCTCGCTCCTAGCTCCCCCGGAAGCTTCCTCACGCCTCGTTCCTCGCCTCCTCGTGGTGCAGGACGGAGGAGCGAGGAAACGAGGAAGCATCAACTTGAGTATCGAGACGCACCCATTGTCTCTATTTCCTGTAAAGAGCCTGTGCGGATTTCACGTCGCAAATAAAACAAAAAGATGTTGCACAAAACGAACGAAACGTCGTATCAAAGATTCGTTCAAGAACGACCCATCACTACACTAACAGTCATACTACACTAGAGAGAAAGTCATGTACATAGATTTCGCAGCACTTTTCTCTAGAGTTTCATGAAAAATAGCACGTCTGGTGGTTTGTGCTTTTAAGAAAATTATTGCATTCCTTCCATGTAACACCATAACGCTGTTTGTATCTCAAATGCTAACATTTGATGGGAAGCAAACATGGACCGAGTTTGCTAGCCATTAACTCATCAGCTAGCTATTTTTTTTTAATTATGAGACATTTGTAATGAGGGAGAATGTCTAAAGATGTCACAGGGCTGTTGTCGTATTCATTTGAGCATTACAAATTAACTACTTTAATATTTTATAGCCGATAGATTATTTAATGGCTTAAAATGGGCGGTTACTTGAATGTTTCGCAGTAAAGCATCTCACAGTGATGGGTTTCAGCACTAAACTAACAAAAGGATGCTTATGAGTATTTAAATATAAATCCCAAAGCCTTGGTAGAATAAAGTTAACGCATACTAGCATATGGGGCATTACTTAAATATTAAGACCACTAAGTAGACATGATTTCTGTTTATACTGAACAATATTTACAACACATTTGATGACAGTTCTTCTTCTTCTTCTTCTGTCCTTTGGCTGAAGCTGGTGGTCGAACTGGTTGATACCTCTCCTTGCCGCAGTGATCGTCACGCTGATGTACCGTATATATACAGCCGAAGATGCATGACCGGTGCTCACAGAAACTCACACTTTTAGTGGACTGTTGTTGTTCGCTGTCACTGCTGTACCTAATTTCCTCAGCACATGTTCTGAACTCCGAACTACAACACCCATAACATAACACATTTCAGGTTGTTGTTTTTTTTGTCCATCACAGCTATAATTAATGAAGGCTTTTTCTTTTTCCTTTTTTTTGGGGGTAGCTTTCCAGTTCGTATGTTCGAATGAAAATTCTGCTATTCAGATGATAAGCTGTAGAAGTATTCACAAGCGGGACATATTTGACCATATTCGAGACGCATATCCTAAATGATATAAATGTGTAAAGCTTGTAAGTGTCTGATTGTGTTATCATTGTGTAAATATAATTTTGGAATTAGTGCTGCAAGCTTGTGTGTAGTAAAACTCAACAGGGTGGCAGTAGCTGCATAATGACTTCTAATTACATGTAGAAACCTTTTGGAAATTTCAACACATGCAATTAACAGAAATATAGACACCTGAGGCATTTTATTCAGTGATTTTTAATGACTTAAAAACACCGATAGATCCATTTTGGTCTTTGAAGGCGATTCTTTTTCTTTTCGCTTGTACTAACTTTATATCACCATTGTGTGATTTGACACTGGATTACAACACCGACGTTTTTTTTTTTTTTTTACGCTGCTGCTGTCTTATCCTGTTGTACGGGGATCACCACTGGCTTAGGACTAAGTTCCCACTCTTAGTCCTACACATATGAGTGTTTTCCCAATCCACCTGATTTATCTACTCAGCTAATTAATAGCCCTTTCTGAGGTGAAGTAGGTCCATTAGAGAAGGGAAAAACACTCATATGTACAGGATAAGTGATACTCCAGGAGCAGGGATGAGAAAAGAAGGGAACAGTCTTTAAACATAGCCATTGTACATCGATTTGGCAAGTATCCTGCATATTTTACTACTCCTAACATATCCGTCCCAGCTCACTAAGGGCTTTATCAATGTTGAGGTCTCGTACTAAGGACCACTGGGGTACTGATGAACAGACACGGTGCTAAAGCATTCCATTTTATATCACCGAAGCTAAGCAATGCATCATGTGAAATATATCACTCTCGTATATATTTTGTAGCACCACAAGCATTCATATAGATATATAGATGGAGAGAGTGAGTATATTCATATCAAACACTTGTTTTCTTGTCTTTCTCTAAAGTGAGCCAAAATGTACAAAATCAGAAGTGTTTCCAAATTTCATTTTGTCTGCCATGCACTTTCACACACAGTCAGGCAGGATATACTGTTCTGGGCCAGTTCTGACACACAGAGGCTCAAGGAAAATGAAGGTTGATGACACGTTACAGGAGAAGAGCTGTATGTAAGCTTCTGTGTCACTGATCCACTCAGGAATAGCATAATGGTCAACAAAGCATAGTTTGAATCCTTTCCTGTTGCAGCAGGCGATTTAAAAATTGAGCTTATGTGCAAAAGAGTCAATTTGAGGGGTTTCCCCCCCGCATTGTTCATGCTTTAATTTCATTAAAGAACTAATTATGTGGAATTTTATGTTATTGTTTTTGTGTGTGTGTGCGTGTGAAACCTTTTTTGGACGCGTGGTGGTTTAGTGGTTAGCACGTTTGCCTCACACGTCCTGGATTGTGGGTTCAAATCCCACCTCCGTTCTGTGTGAGCAGAGTTTGCATGTTCTCCCTGTGCTTCAGGGGTTTCCTTCCCCAGTAAAATGGGCGATATACCGGTGGAAATTCTCCCCAATAAGAATCAGTCTTCCCGCAATAATAACACTAAAGTCTATCTAAAGTTGATGACTCATTTCTGTGCGATGGTCTGCGACCCATTCCCAGCTGGCATGTAGAGTGAAAACAAGTACTGTGGACGTGAAAGCCGAGGAGGAGCTTATCGCTAAACAAGGAGCTACCTCGACAATCTGGAACTGGTTTGGTTATGGAAAATCACTTCTATTTTTAGAAGCTCTCAAGGCTCTCAAGATCATAGCTATCACTTGTAGTCGAAAACAGTGGTGCACGGTACTATATTTATATCGTCACTGATATCGTCATCACAATAATCACCAGATAATATCGTGATATAGTTTTAAGTCATTATCGCCCGTCCCTATTTGCGGATGCTTTTATCCAAAGCGACTTAGAAGTGCAACAGAAGCCAATCCAAGTACAAAGCTGTGACTGTGATACAAAGTGCCAATATAATGGAGATACTTATTATACCTAATGCTACACAGTAATGTCAATAATAGTGAGTAATGGACAAATGTGGTGGTTTGTGCGTCAAAAAGAGAAAGACATGTACAGTGTACACATACGCAGCAGGGGGAATGGCTCCATCTGTGCAGAAGCATGAGGGTTATTTCACACTAAATCCATTTTAGCATTCTAAGTGGTCTGCAGTTGATGACTCTGTATTTTGTGTGCATACAGTATGTGAACACAACCCCTCTAAAATGGCTCGCAAGTGACCCGTACTCAGACCACCTCTAGACATTCTCAGTGTGGTTTGGTTCTGGTTTATTTTGTGGTCCACTTGATGTGTGTCTTACGAAAACAAAATGTTCCCGGTCTGCTTCGTGTTTTCGTTTATAACTAAAGAACTTAATGTAGCTGCAGTTGTTTTTCTCTCCCACTTTACAGTAAAAAACCAAGTTACAAAAAATACTCTAATGGCTGCCAATTGGGTAGTGTGATGACACAGCAAAATAAGTTGTGTTGCTCATGATCGGTAGCAACAGGCCTGCTATTAAAGGCATTGTAGCAATAGCAATTATACTATGAAGCTTAAAAAGTTAGGCAGCAGTAATAATAATGGTAAGGGCAAAACATTCACTGTATATTACTATTGTAAAATACAGTCATAGGGTGCTTTATTCAACTCAATCATGTGGCAGCAGTCCAGAAACACATAATGTAATTCAAATACAGGTCAAGAACTTCAGTTATGTTCATATCAAACATCAGAATGGTAAAAAAGTGATCTCAGTGACTTGGCGTAGTTGTTGGTGCCAGATGGGCTGGTTTGAGTATTTCAGAAAGTGCTGATCTCCTTGGATTTTCACACACCACTCTCTTGGGTTTATACAGGATGGTGCAAAAAACAAAAATACATCCAGTACTGCAGGCAGAAAGAGCTTGTTGATGAGAGAGGCCAGATGAGAACAGCCAGACTGGCTCAAGCTGACAGGAAGGCTAGTGTAACTCAAATAACTACGCATTACAGTCGTGGTCAACAGAAAAGTATGGGTGGATGGGCAGCAGAAAACCACATCAGGTTCCACTCCTGTCAGCCAAGATAAGGAATCTGAGGCTAGAGTGGGCACAGACTCGCTGAAACTGGATAGTTGAAGATCAGAATAATGTCACTCCCACACGATGGGCTTATGGACGGAGTCTAATTGCATGAATGTGCAGAGGTACAGGTGTTCCTAGTAAAATGGCCGGTGAATGTATGTAGTATATATGTGCATTGTGTCTTTGTCAACCAATGACATGGAAGTCAAAAGTAGGCCTATGGCATGAAGCAGAAGTTAGTTTTGATGGTTCTCCGACGAAATCCCTCTCCTTATTGCTTTCTTTCTTCCCCCAGATGCTTCTGGTATTTCGCAACAGTTCTGTTTTTGAACCATTTTGAATGACACAGCTAGGGTCATAGTTCTAAAGAAGTCAGTGCAAACAAGAACTGGTCATCGATTGTTAAATCATTTGCAGCTACAGTGGTTCTAGTAAAATGACAAAGTATGGTTTGTTTAAAAGAGAACTAGATGTGAGAACACCCTTAAGAGTATGGTTTTAGACTTGCAGTGGTGGAAAACCAAGCTCGTCTGACTCGCAGACCGTAGACACTTAGATGGACTGTAAACCCTGAGGAGCTAATCTATAATAGAGTTTGGTAAGACCGGAGCTGTCACACTTGGGTGAGTCAAAGACATCTGACTGAAGTCAGCAGTTAATTAACAAGCTCAGCAGGAATACATATCCAGGATGGGAACTGGGGAACTGACTCAAAGAGCTGAACTCGATGCCAGCAGCAACAGTGAGCCAGTGGAAGTCAAGTCAGACATGTTGTGACTCTTTGTCACGCCCACACGTTCTGTTTCATCATAAAAGTGCAAGCGTTAGACCGTATACTAGAGATTTCCTGTGTGATGTGTGTGGGAAGACTATACAAAACTTCATCAAGATTTCAAGACACATCCCATGACACGTGCGAGGCCGGTTGCACTGAAGTGTTGCATTGCTGCTATCTGGTGGCCATCGGTACACACTGCATACAATCGTAACAATTCGGATCTGTATGAGTTTCTCGGATCAGTACACTCTTTTATACTGTTGCTCTGTGTATTTCCGTGCACATCGTACTATACAGACAGGTAACGAAAAAAGGAGAAATCAACATGACGTACATCTAACACATCACTCCAAAATCTCTCACAGGTCTTCAATTGAGTTGAGATCTGGTCCTAGCATGTTATTTATATCATTTTCATCCGCATTAAATCATTCAGTGAACCCTGTGGACGGGGCGGAGTCATGCTGGAAGACACCACGGCCATCAGGACAGACATGTTTCATCAGCAAGTGATCAGTTAGAAGAACTTGGTACTGGTTTGTGGTGTTCTTTAGAATGGGACAAGTGGAGCCAAACAAACCATGACACATCATCATAACAAAGCAGATAAGAACTTTTCAACATTTCCTGTCATTTCTCACCCAGCTGTAATAATACTAGTTAAACTAAAATAAAAAAATAAATAAAAAAACACTTTTAAGGGCCGTGTGAGAGTCTGGAGCCTAAACTCAAGGCATGGGGTAGTGCTTTGCTTATTTGTAAGTCGCTTTGGATAAAAGCTTCTGCTAAGTGAATAAATGTAAATGTAATGTAGTGGAATCCCTGGAAGGAGTGCCAACCTGTTGCAGGGCATAATCTTATACACATTTTCACACATACGTACAATTTGGAAATGTCAATCAGCTTACAATGCATGTCTATGGACTGGAGGAGGAAACCCGAGTACGTGGAGGAAAACCTTGAAGCACAGGGAGAACATGCAAACTCTGCGTGCACAGTATGGAGGTGAGATTCGAACCCCCAACCAACCCTGGAGGTGCTCTTGTTGTTGTTGTTGTTGTTGTTGTTGATGATATAAGGAAGTACGTAACAACAGTTACTCTTTTGTTATCCTCATTCGACTTCCTGTGACAAGGCCGTGATGCAAACACGGTCCCATGGGACACAGCACGTATTTCACGACTCGTTGGCGGTCACGCCACTAATATTGACCAGTGCTGAATATTGTCACATGACATGATTTATGTGCTCAAGCAAGATGAGTTCATAGAAGACATAATATCCGGTCTATCCAGTCTGACACTTTGATACTACCGTGCCGTTTATGTTTTTGCCCAACCTGATTTACATAAGTTCGATAAAGAGACTGTTGTAAAGCTCAAGGCCATTAATGATGTCATCAGAATCCCATCCGAGGCGTTATTATTGTGCTGACCGTCACGCAATGACCGTATTACGCAATGACATCAGACAGAATTTTACATCGGTCTGAATCAATAAGTGAGGTAATTCAGTTAATCTGTTTGAATAATTAGGAGGAATTTAGACGTGCGTTTTATTCTGTAAAATCTATATAAATAAAAAATATAACCTTTTTTTAAAACAATGAATGAGCACATCGTATCTACATCGTAATGCATCTGTTTAGTATGTCTGTTCTACTTCAGCATGAATTAATCATCCTACTATCCAATCTGTTGCTAATTTTGTGACGCATAATGTGCTAAGTTTGCGTCCGTAACCTATGACAAAAAATAAAATTTGAATAATAAAAAAAAAAATCTCTGCTTCATTATAACGAATTGCTCAAATCCTACAGCTTTGCTTTAAGCAGCACAATGTGACCAGTCTTTTCAGTCTTTCCACTGCAGTGTTTTTGTGTGAAAATGTTCCACTGTTTGATGATGCAAATATATGACAATATACTCAAATCTCTGACTAAACGCATTTGCATTTCACGAATGACCACAGAGAAGGACGGATAAATCCAATGGGACGCCTTCCCAGAAGAGTAGAGATACTTATTATAACAGCAAAGAGGGGAATACATCAAGAATGACATGTTCACCGAGCACTTGAGTGTGATGGTCAGGTTGTCTACAAACTTTTCACCTTATAGCGTATATTTAAAACAACACTCCTAGGTAATTGGTACCATGACATCATTTCCAGCAGGAGGATATTGGCCGGCGCATAAAACTGAAGGCAGTGTCTGTGATTTAGAAGGGAGGACGCTCATGGCAGCTGTTTGTAGGATCATTTCCTACCAATGTGCTTGGAAAAAAAGAACGCAAATGGCATTTTAATGGCTTATTACTGAAGGCGCCACCTGTTGAACACTATGTTCCCAAGATTCCTGATGTAGTAGTTTGTAAAAAAAAAAAAAAAAAAAGTTTGTTATAGGTATGGCAAGGTCAAACATAAAATAAAACTTGTAGAAAAGTCGGTGTAATTGAAACACAACACGTTTCAGTAGAGTAAGTCCAAGTTCATCTAAATACAGTTTAGAGTTCAATTCAAATGGTAAGTGCATTTCAATGAATAGTTGCGGTTTTGGTAATAAATCTTGGGCTTTGTAGTTTGTA